GGTGCAAAGAATACAGACAATTCTAACGTAGGCAGCCATTTTGATTTTGTTAAGATTGTCAAGATGCGCGCGCAGAGAAGGACAGGTTGCCCCGATATTTTGCCTCTCGCACCGTTCTGCCAAATCCAGCATATACTATAGAAAAGTATACGGATGCTGGGTCTATCTTATATGTCTATGGTTCATTACGATAACCCCAAGCGCAGAAAATCATGGGGAGTTCCCGGCCATGCTTCCACCTCGACGGCCAAACCGAATATTCACGGCTCCAAAGTCATGCTCTGTATTTGGGACCAGCTCAGCGTAGTGCATTATGAGCTGTTAAAATCGACTGAAACAATCACAGGCGATCGGTATCGAACGCAATTGATGCGTTTGTGCCGAGCATTGAAAGACAAACGGCCGCAATACAACGAAAGACACGATAAAGTGATTTTGTAACATGACAATGCTCGACCCCATGTTGCGAAAGTGGTCAAGACATACTTGGAAACGTTGAAATGGGAAGTCCTACCTCACCTGCCGTATTCTCCAGACGTTGCTCCCTCTGACTATCACTTGTTTCGATCAATGGCACACGGTCTGGCTGACCAGCACTTCCGGTCTTATGAAGAAGTAAAAAATTGGATCGATTCGTGGATCGCCTCAAAAGATGACCAGTTTTTTCGACGCGGGATTCGTACGCTTCCCGAAAGATGGGAGAAAGTAGTGGCTAGCGATGGACAATGCTTTGAATCATAAATGTATAACCAGTTTTTTACAATAAAGCTTCGAATTTCGGAAAAAAAACGGCAGAAGCAAAGTTGTACACCTAATATAATGTCTTAAGATGTTAATACAGTCCTCGGATTGACTTACGACATTTTAAGGTTGACTTAAGACAGTCTTAAATGTAAGAATCGACTGTGAATACCGACCTGTATCGTGTTATGAAGTTTATTCTTTTCGTGCACAAGGAAAGATTCAGTACCAACTTCATGACGCGAAACAGGTATTTATAGTCGATTCTTACATTTAAGACTGTCTTAAGTCAATCTTAAGATGTAAATCAATCCTAGGATTGTATTATCATCTTAAAACATTATATTATTTAATAATGTAACTTTAATAGTTCATTCATATCATAGTTCTGATTCTTACTGTAGTTTGGCAGATGGAAATATAGTGGTTCAACTTCAAATACATAATATAGTCATTACAACAGAAGGGCAAATTTATATTATTGAAAAACAATTTGTTGAATATTCAGACTTATATTCTTATCCATGTAAATTATCTAAATTAAAAATTTTTGTCACAAAAAATTTATCAAGATTTACTTTGGCCAATTAATAATTTATTTAGCAAATGCATTGTTTATCCTTTTAATAATACTTCTTTTGTTTTTTTCCCTATAATTCACAGTATAATTAATTAATTATAAAATACAGTTCATGCTTCGAAGCATGATCATCTTTTGTATTATTTCCCAGAATTTACAATGTAATTAATTATAAAAATTAATTATATTGTAAATTATTAATTTACAATATAATTTATACTATAAAATTATATTATATTATATAGTTTATAACAATTATAATAAAAAATAAAAGATTAGAAAAACATATAAAATATAATTTTGTATACAATATTACTTTTATAATCCTGTACGTTATTAAGACGTCATTAAAACGTTTCAATGATGTCTTATTGACGTTAGAGATGTCATTAAGACATTATTAAGACGTCATTTGATGTCATATTGTTTGTTGAGACGTCATTAAATGATTCAAAATGGTCATAAAATCACGTCTTTTTAACGTCTAAGGGTCCTCTACATAGAAGTCGTAGACGGTCGTGGAGTCTTAAGTCGTAGGAAACCAACCAATCACAATCAAATATAAGGAGAATACTCGATTAGAATTGGTCAGTTTCCTACGACTTAAGACTCCACGACCGTCTACGACTTTTATGTAAAGGACCCTTTAAAATCGTCATCGGTCCGTGACATTAGTACGTCATTTTTCCGTCTTTTAAACGTCATTACATTGGTCATTTTTGGTCATTCTTTGACCAAAGTTTGACGTCACCTTGTTTACTGGGTCCGTATACACGTATTTTCCACTCGGTAAGAAAACTTTTCTTCTAGACTTTCAGTCTTAATTCTACGAACTCGGTATCGTTTGTTCCAGTAATGTGACCTCAGTTGTATGTTTATTTTTAAGATGTGGACTCTAAAACTCTTACAACAAGCAAATATATACCTGAGGTAACAGCTCTACGAGCCAAAAGTGAACTTTTTAACTTTTTTTCTATTTTCTCATAAAATCCAGTGCAGCTGAGGTCCTGTTTGTGCGTACTTTAATTCTGTAATAACAATTTTGCAATCCATAAATCCAATTCGGAGATTTTTCACCGAGTGGAAATGTCGATAATACAGACGGCTATAGCATCCCCTTAAAATGGGTTATATTGCGTTGGTATCTGTTCTCTTGCAAACGTTCTCACTACATGTAATGATGTAATATATGCTATTTCTTTTTAATGCTCCGCCCCTAATGTACGAATGAATCTCTCTAAGGGGATCCGCACAATAAAAGGAACAGGGAACAGAGAACAGAGAATAAGAATTTCAATCTATCAGAAATCATGTATTGTGGAATACACAATGTGACTCTCATAGCCCCCCGTAGTAGAAGTTATGGAAATTCTACTATAAAATAAAGAGAAGTCATGTTGCTCTAAGAATATTAGTAAACTAAAAATTGTATATTTTTGAAGTTTGTGATCCTTACACTATTCTTATTCACATTATCTTATTCTCAACTATGTTATTTAAGAATTCTCAAATTAACTTTGCATAATGTTATATATTTAACGAAACTCCTATAAAAACTATTTTGTTATCTTATAAATATTCTTTAAATTCTAAAATATCAAAAAAATTAATTAAAAAAATACTTACCTTCACTTTGATATATATTACATAAAGATAATGGTGACACAGCCTCCAGCCAACTTTCATAATCTTGCAATTTGCTTTCTAAATCAGGCTTGTGAATATACCTTTTTGATATATACCATAATGGCTGTATATTACTGTAACTCATAATATCTCGTTTTTCCAGTAATCTGATAAACATTTTGAGGTCCTTTGTCTGACTCAATTTACGTTTTGAATCAATTTCATGTACATAATTACATTTTAGCTGATTCAAGATGTTACTGTCAATGAAAGGCTCAGCTGTACTGAGGAAGTCTTGACAAAGCAAAGTATATTTTTCGAACATCTTGTATTTCCAAAGACTCAATTTTTCAAGCCAGATTCTGCGGCATATAAATAAGGTAAATGTTAAGAACCCAATGACCTCAAATTTTGATAAAAATACACTGAATCAATGCGTTTTTACGTAAAAATAAAGAATTTATCTTTCAGCCTCGCGTATAAATAAAAATAAAAATAAATTAACAATAATGCACCACAATATGTAGTTCTCCTTTAATTATCGATAATAATAATAATAATAATAATAATGATTGCAATATCAAAAGGCTATAGGAGTCAACGCTGGATGTAATAAGCGATAATTACAATCTTGATCAAATATATTATCTGATACATATATCGACCTCGTACGTTTCGACTCTACTTCGAGTCATCTTCAGCAAATCAGTCATCCATCCACATAATGTGAAGAGATATTGTATCGCAAAATAATATCTCCAAACTCCATGCATGCAATGACGTGGCTAATCATGATGTGAGACCCATACTCAAACAGTTACACAGCTGAGTGGTGATGAACAACTCTCCAACTAAAATTTTTTATATAAAAAATTCATTTTAGCACACTGTATAAAGGCTACTCATGATGATCAGCTCACCTCGCATGTTCTCCACACACTTCCCATACAGAGTAAACTTATACAACATTTTACAAAGAACTCAATGTCTAAACTCGTCAACTTGTTAAAATTTAAATATGAAAAATCTCGAAGAACAACGAGCGTCTAGTCCGTTCTAAGTTCGATCAAATAATGAAAGATGCTTCAAAACATTGCGGTCAAATATGAAACACACCAAATGTAGGTGAAAACAACAAGTCTCAGTATGGGAAGTGTGTAGAGAACATGCGAGGTGAGCTGATCATCATGTGAGTAGCCTTTATACAGTGTGCTAAAATGAATTTTTTATATAAAAAATTTTAGTTGGAGAGAGTTGCTCATCACCACTCAGTTGTGTAACTGTTTGAGTATGGGTCTCACATCATGATTAGCCACGTCATTGCTTGCATGGAGTTTGGAGATATTATTTTGCGATACAATATCTCTTCACATTATGTGGATGGATGACTGATTTGCTGAAGATGACTCGAAGTAGAGTCGAAACGTACGAGGTCGATATATGTATCAGATAATATATTTGATCAAGGTTGTAATTATCGCTTATTACATCCAGCGTTGACTCCTATAGCCTTTTGAAATTGCAATCATTATTATTATTATTATTATTATTATCGATAAAGAATTTACAAGAAAAAAGGGTAATTATACAATTTAGCATAATCATCTCAAAAATCAAAATAATTAAGCTTATTCGATTCGTTTTTGCATGAAATGAAAGAATCTAGTAAAAAAAAGCGTCGCCCTATGATCTGAGATATTAACCGTTAAGGGCATTCCACACAAACTTGCATAGTCGCATAAACATATGCATAAAGAAAATCATCCAGTCGTAGTTTATGTTTGTCTGTATGACAGAAATGTGATTGGATAATTTTCTTTATGCAATATGGTTATGCGGCTCTGCAAGTTTGTGTGAAATGGCCCTTAAAGTTAATAACTACTGAGGTTAGGAAATCTGTCACAGAGATAAAATGAGGGTAATTCTTCAGAGAACTAGTTCCGATTTCGATGAAATTAGACTTATTCGATGTGTTTTTGCACGAAACGAAAGAATCTGGCAAAAAAAAGCGTCGCTCTGCCCTGTAAGCCGAGATATTGAGCGTTAAAGTTAACTAAAGTATTACTACGTACGTAACAAAGGGTGCAGTCCACTTGACACTACAAACGCTTCGAATCGTTTGGAGCGTTGTTTTAACCGGTTCACATGGCACTTCAAATGTGTCCCAATAGCACGTATGACGGCATAGGTTTCCACTTCCACCTTACTTTCAATTGCTTCCAATGCTACTGCTTGGAGAGAGAGGTAGTTTGACTGTAGCGTTTGGTTTGAATATACAGAGCGCCGGAAAGCATAATAATAAACGAGCGAAAGTATGGCTGCATTCAGCAGACCAAACAGTTTTGCAACTGTTTTATGATTCATCGCACTGATATTATACTTTTAGATTTAAAGGAATAATCCTATCTCGGCGAAGAATCACAAAACGGTTGCAAAACTGTTGAGTCTGTTGAACGCAGCCTATATCTTCAGAAAAGACCTTTGCCTGAAGAAGATAGCCTTAGCCGTGGTTGCTTCTGATTGCATAACGAAAAAACGCCACTGTAAAGCTAATTTTTAAGTTTATTTATTATATATCGTGGCATCGTGCTATATTACAAATCGTGCTGTGGTATATTGTGTATATTACAATTAAAAATAAAAATTGTATTAACTATGCCAATTATAAGGTTATATGAAGGAGATACTGGAACGATTTATAACCTAGAAGTTTCCGAAAAGGATGCTATTAAAGCTGATAGAGGTATAAATAGCATTATATGATCTGTATTAAATATACATAATTTAATTTAGAAAAAATTATTTTCGAATTTTATTATTTCAAAGATATGGTATTTGCAACGCAACTTTTACAACGTTTTAAAAGTGCCCAAGAGACACAATTTACCAAGAGTGCTGAAAAAACAGCAACGATTGTCAAAGATGCTGAAAATAGTCGAAGTCATTCAATTACTGAATCAGGTAAATATGTTTATTTGAAATTCTTACCATGTATATAAAGAAATTATTCAGAATTAGACCTGAAATTTAAATACATGATTCATTTTGATGTTATATGTATAAGGTGGTACATATTTTCAACATGATATAGTTCTAAACAAAATAAAATTTGAGATCCAATTTTTAAAGTTCTCCCAATAATACATGTTTATTTTGTATATGTTTCTTAAACGTTTGTGGAACATTAAATACATTTAAGAAATTTATGTGTTTATAACATATATTATAAACAATATGAATATATATGAACAATATGTGCTACTTGGGTCAAATTTGCTTTTTTCTCGTTTGAGATACCTTTTAATATCCTCCACATAATGAAGAGGTTATCAAACTTGAACTTCGAAAATTGGATTCAAATTTTATTTCATTCAGAATTGTATCATGTTTCAAATTGTATCACCTTGTCTTACTTTATATGATTTATATTTTCCTTGTATGATGTATACCTTACATTATTTACATTTTTATTTCTTTATGTATATCCTCGTATTTATCTTATATGTTTTTCATTAATGATCGAAATCATTCATACTTTTTCATGATACAGCATGTTATGATATGAATCAAACAACGCAAGAGTTTTCTGAATCTTCTCAAGAAGCTTTTGATTTTCAAGAAAAAAGTATTTCCTAATGATTATAATTATAATCGTATGAAAAAGGATCTAAAAACATATAGATCCTATGTTATTTTACAGATAGTTTTCGTTGGCCACATGAGGCAGTTCTTTTATTACTTACGTTGTATAAAGAACACGAAGATTAATTCAAATTTGGAAAAATGACTATGAAAAAATTTTGGAACATGATTGCCTCTCATTTAAATGAGAAAGGATATAATGTTACAAGCTCTCAATGCAAAAGTAAGATGACAGGTCTAAAAAATACCTATAAAAGTGTTAAAGACTATAACGCAAAAAATGGTAACAGTCATAGGATTTGGCAATATTTTGATGTAAATATAGAAGGAAAAAACATATGTTGAACATATTAATTATATTTAAGATGTATATCAATTTTCGCTGTATTCAAGGTAATGAACGAAATGTTTAATAAAAAGCCATGGATGACTCCCATCCTTATATTAGATAGTAGCAATCCTACTTCCTCATTATCTTCTAAATGCAGTGCTGAGAATAAAATCGTTGATAATAAAAAAGATCCATCTTCATATAAAACTAAAATATGTTCTATACGTAAGTACTATTATCAACACTTTATTATGTTTTATTAAAATACATTATACTTACGAAATTATGTGCTACCGTTATACTCCCATTTGCCTAATGCAGGCTTGGCACTAGATGCACATTTCGGGCTGATTCCGGCGAGCGACCCCCACTACCACTCGAGCCTCAGCGGCCGAGCTGCCGACCGCTCACGTGACGCTCTGGCTCAGGAGCGTCCCTATATCTTAAACGTGCTAGGGTCGTATCTTCCGTCATTGAAGAATCTTTCTTGCTAAATAATTTTTATTTTTTCAAAAAATTAAGTACTAAATTTTCTATTATTAATGTATTAATATATGCTCTATATATAATAATATAATTGTAGCAATAATATATAATGTGTATAATATAATTAGAGTTCTTTACAATAGTTTTCCACATCACCCGTGAGGTACTATTGTTGACGCGTTTTTTTTAAAGTGGTTTCCCCAGCAGGCTTATTCCACTGAAAAAGATAATCAATATTATAATATGAAAGAATACTTTTGGTTTGAATTCTTTTGTATGAATTTAGAGACATTTAAATTTAAATAAGAAGTAGAATATGTAACACAACAAAGTCTGATTAGCATTTATACCTATAACGAATTAATTAATTAAAGATAATAAGAAAGTTTTTATATAGTTCTGAATAAGAATATGATAAAATGTGACAATGGGTGCTTTCCATTTGACGATACAAGTCGATACAAACGTCATTCTATCCTTGTTAACATTCAGAGAGTGACACTTGTGTCGACTTGTGTCATCAACTGGAAAGTACTCAATATATGCTAAATATATTCTATTTTTATTTTCGAATAAAAGTGATAAATAAGATAATAATGTGATAAAAATTAATGCAGTATAGTACACGTTATATTTTTATTTTCGAATAAGAGAAGTGATAACTAAAGACCCTTAAAAGAGAGACTCGCCAACTCATCATGTGACTATGGGTGATTCTGATTGGCTGGGGTATGGATGACGTGTTTCCCCTTTTTGAACATGTATACCATAACCTGCTAGAATACACATGTGAATTGAAGCAGCTTGTGTTGCGTGTGGTTCTGACTATTTTTGGTAAGTAAATTTATCACATTTATGCAAAATTGTGAGAAAAAGTAATGTATATATTGTCACAAATAAGCTTTGAATTAATAAACGCTTCGTAGTTAAAAATAAGTAGTACGTAAGTTAAAGATACCTGTTTCATTAATAATGTGATTCTCTTGTCTTAGATTGGATTTTTATATTGATTTTGAAGATGCCAAATATATGCTGTGCAGCGAGATGTTTTAATAAATCCAGTGATGGATATGCATTAATTAGATTTCCCAAGGAAAATCAATATAAGAAAGCATGGGTAGACGCTGTTTTTGGAGAGACATCAAGATCCTTGAATAATTTGAGATTGTGTGAAGTGAGTATTCATCGTAAGAATGTTATGCAGGATCCGAATAAAAATAGTTTAAAAAGTGCTTCTCCATTTAATGCTTTCCTCATTTCAGGTTCACTTTGAGCCATCAGATGTATTGGTGGTAGGTTGCCGGAAAGAAATAAAAAAAGGTGCGATTCCATCACGTTTTTGCCATTGTCCCTCTGAGAATTTTCGTAAGTCGCAAGCAAGAAAGCGGAAGAAAGACGAAGTTCATGTACGTAATGTCAAAGCGAGACTAGATAGTTCAGAGAATTTAAATAATAATCAATATATGGAGTATTTATATTCAATATAAATTTATATATGGAATTTATATATATATTTATTTATTTATATATAGAGTATTTATATTCAATACACATCTTTACATCAATTTGTGTACAACGGTTTTAAAGTTCTCTGAGTGCATTTCAAACGAATTTACTATTAATTAATATACTCTATATAGAATATACAATTTGGAATATTTAAAAAATATATTACAAAAAAATTTACTTTAAAATTTAAACTTATTTTGCAAAATTAATTCCATAACGTTTCTAACATTCTTTAATAATTTATTTTCCTTTCTCAGTTTATTCACAATTTTTTTAGGACTTGTACAGTAAACATCTGAAGGCAAGCAGATGTTTTCAGTATTTGACATAATGCAATTTTCCTTTATGGAATATCTTTCTTTAATTTCATTAATTGATAATGGAAGTGTAGTAAATGGACAATTGAATAGATGATTTATGGCATGCAATTGCTTCTTAGATAACTTCGCAACATTTTTAATGATACGATTGGTTACTGGACAAGCTACGTTTTTAATTGAAATGCAACAACGCTCACATGTGTTAACTGCTTGACAAATATGATTATCAGATATTTTTCTTATTTTAACATTACACACATGAACTTCGTCTTTCTTCCGCTTTCTTGCTTGCGACTTACAAAAATTCTCAGAGGGACAATGGCATAAACGTGATGGAATCGCACCTTTTTTTATTTCTTTCCGGCAACCTACCACCAATACATCTGATGGCTCAAAGTGAACCTGAAATGAGGGAAGCATTAAATGGAGAAGCACTTTTTAAACTATTTTTATTCGGATCCTGCATAACATTCTTACGATGAATACTCACTTCACACAATCTCAAATTATTCAAGGATCTTGATGTCTCTCCAAAAACAGCGTCTACCCATGCTTTCTTATATTGATTTTCCTTGGGAAATCTAATTAATGCATATCCATCACTGGATTTATTAAAACATCTCGCTGCACAGCATATATTTGGCATCTTCAAAATCAATATAAAAATCCAATCTAAGACAAGAGAATCACATTATTAATGAAACAGGTATCTTTAACTTACGTACTACTTATTTTTAACTACGAAGCGTTTATTAATTCAAAGCTTATTTGTGACAATATATACATTACTTTTTCTCACAATTTTGCATAAAGGTGATAAATTTACTTACCAAAAATAGTCAGAACCACACGCAACACAAGCTGCTTTAATTCACATGTGTATTCTAGCAGGTTATGGTATACATGTTCAAAAAGGGGAAACACGTCATCCATACCCCAGCCAATCAGAATCACCCATAGTCACATGATGAGTTGGCGAGTCTCTCTTTTAAGGGTCTCTAGTGATAACAATATCATATAAATGTAATATATATTCCATTTTTATTTTTTAATAAGAAAAGTGATAACGATGTGATAAAAGTGTAATAATACATGCTACATACGTTTTGTTTTCGTTTTGAATAAGAAAAGTGTTCGAATAAGAAAGTTTATGTTTGAATAAACTTTCTTATTCGAACACTTTTATAAGTATGTAATAAATATGTATGTAATAAATAAGTATGAGATAAATTTGTATTAAAATATGCTAAATATATATTTATGCAGTTTTATTTTATCGTAATATATTTTATTTTATCTATTATATGTATAAATATCTTTATCCATTTTGAACATTCTGAGCATTTCTCATATCTAAATTATTACATATGTTAAGTCTCTTAGCTTCTGCAATAATTCTATCATTATATCTAATTCTTTCCCTTTGTAATTCTACTTCTTCTATATCAAAAACAATAACATCATCTTCTAATCTCAATTCATCTTTTTTTAATAAACAAATCATATATTAGCATGTTGTGTGAAGCACACAACATGCTAATATATGATATGGTGTAAAATCAATACGATTAATTGCCAGTAACTGTAAGAGACTTCTCCAGCGTCCTTTTAAAAGAGCAAATGCCCTTTCTATTACCATTCTCGTTGAAGAATGGCAATAATTGTAATTCTTTTGTCGTTCTGTGAGGTGTCCGTTGTCCACATATGGAACTAAAAGACGTTGATGCAGTCCATATGCGGCGTCTCCAATTAAATGAGTATTATTGGGAAACTTGTTGGGATCATTTATATAATCTTGGAGAGCTGATAAGCGAAAAATACGAACATCATGAACTGATCCTACATTTCCCACATATACATGCGTGAACTGCATTATATGATCGCATACTGCCTGTACAAAATCCAACACAAATTCTTTCATTAATTAATAATTATTTAAGCCGGCGATACACAATGCTTTTTTTCCTGCTGGGTTGCTAGCTCAGTTGATATCTTACCATTTTATTGCTGACACCGCAGCCAATACAATAGCAAGATGCTTATCCAATTAGTAATTCAGTAATAAAAAGCATCATGTGCTGCTTGCGGCTATATTCATTACTAATAATAAGCATAATATAATAAACTAGGCAGGGATTTAGATATTCTGGTTATAATTACAGCAATTTATAAGGTCTACACATATACACACCCGTACACAGTATGTAATAACATTTTAAAATAAATTACATAAGTAATGATATTATAACAGCATTATTAAAATATTACCTGCAGATGAATAGAATGACCTTTTCGATTGATGTATGCTTCTGCATTTTCTTTAGGTGCTGGAATGGTTATATAGGTACCGTCTATGGCTCCATTTGTATCAGGGAAACCATTTTTACGAGAAAATCCAAGTATAATATCCTGTATTTTATCATTTCTTGGCCACTATATATCTTGGCGACAATTGACAAAGTGCTTTTGCAACACGACGCACAGTTCTTACAGCTGTGGCCTTGCCAACATTAAATCTCTCAACTATAGATCTAAAAGTATAATAATATATAAAATGTGATTTATTACATGTAATATATAACATAAAGCACGTGGGAAAAACTTTTACATCAGAAATAATAACTAATAATAATATCATTTTATGATTATATATATACAGAAAACAATGTATAAAAAACGATTGTAATTGCTTTATGATTCGCTTGTTGTAGGAATAGAATGAAAACAATATTTGTTAAATGCATTACTTATGATTTAACATAAAAGAAATATATGGTGATAATGTCGCATAAAATATTGGCAAGATTTAATTTATAAGATTTGTACTTTTTATTAAAAATGAAAAATAGACATATAAGCCATATAACGTAAGAATGCAGTAAATGATGAAAAACTAACCTCATTTTTTGAGGTTAGTTTTTGTATTGCCTGCGAAACGTATAGCAAGGCGCTTGCTTTGTTGTATTATTCATCGACTTACCATGATCTACATTGATTTTTTTTTCATTCTTCGCGCACACTTTAAGCCACATTTTTCGGAGGTCTCCTTCTTTCGGGAAGGTAAAATATTTCAACAGTTCTCCAGCTCGGTTAGAGCAGTTCGAGATACAACAATATGGCATTATTTATATATTTTTCAAATATTATACATTTTACGACCTTCCCTGCAAATACATGCAGTCACGTACAA